AGCCCGGTAGGGATAGGTCTGCCCGGCGGAGGAGGCCGCCTTACCCCCGGCCCTAGAAAGCGCCCGGGGTGGCCCAGCCCCGGGAGAAGCCCTCGCCGCTCCGGGCCCCGGCAGCTGCAGAGAGGTTTTAGGGAAAGCTCCGTGCCCAGGCCAGGCCGTAGGTGCAGAGGCGTGTAGGTAGGTTTGCCCGCGGGAACCGGCCGTTGTAGTTGTTATCCAAGAAATGTGACAGCCTGTGCAAAATATGTTCCCGCTGCGGTTTGTATCTCCCTTCTGCGACTTGCTGAGTACTTAAAACCCCTTTGGCACGTTAGCAGGGCTGTTCAGGTACTTTGCACTTTGTTTCGTAAGTGAATAAGTGCTTTTCTTTCTTTGTGTATTGAGTTGCTATTGAATTGCTTCCCATATTTTTATTTCATACAAACTGAACAATTGTGGCCCCTCTATTTTATTTATAAAGGTTCAGTGTATCTTTGCCTGCCTACATCAATCTGCAAGGGAGTTGCAGAAAAGCCTCATGTTCATCGAGCCGTGAGTCACAACCAATTTTTAAAGCTGTTATAACAAAAAAAAAGTGTTTGCTTTTTTTTCACAAGTAACTTTAAAAGTGTAGCTTAGAAAGAAAAAAAAAATAAAAAAACCATTTTCAGTAGACACAACATTATTCCTGGATGCTTGCAAATCCTAAACTATATTCATACTTTAGTGTTACACATATCTGTGTCGTATACACAGATGATCTTTACGATTGTCACATACCATTACCACTTTGCCTTTACTTTTATGTATCATTCCCCTGACTTCCTTACTGCAGGTGTGGGCAAGAAAACTTTTCCTTTAAAACTTTTCAACAGTGGGCATAAATTTCTGCAGCTGAGGTCTTGAAGAATGCAGATGGGTATAGTATATGTTGGAGCTCGCAGTGTGTATTGACTAACTTTGTATCTTTTTTATTTTCATTTTTTTGCTTTTCTGATATTGTCTTGTTTAAGTGGCTCCTGAGTGTAAAATGTCTTCTGAGGGTGGGATGTGGGTGGGAAGCACGCTTCGTGTTCCAGGCCAAGACCTACAAGACTCATCTTTGCGCGGCCTTGGAAAGCACACTGCGTATTTGTTTTTCAAACCAAATGGACCAATGTCTTAATTACCAGATGAGTGAATAGCAAGTGCCTATAGAAACTGTCCAGCACAGCCCTGTTCGGTGATTCATGGCCCTCTGTTAGTGTGGGTTTCAATAGCTCCTGCTCCTTCCTCACAGTAAAAAAGAGGAGGGGGGGAAGGAGAAAAAAAAAAGATTTTGACTGTGAGCCAGACTGTCTGTCTCCTTTTTTCTCTTCTGGCTGTGCTGTCTCTTTATATGGATGACAGGCCTTGGACGTTACTTGGCTCGCCAACACTGTGTTTAACATGGTGTACTGGATGAATAAATGCTAAAATAGCGTTTGCTGCCAATTATAAGTCTTCCAGAATATCCTGTTACCCTCTAAGCTTTTTTTGAGTAATTTTGGGGAGCAGGAACACCAAATATTTGAATCTGCATATTAAAGCGAAATGATCATACCAGCATCTTTGTTCTCTTATCGGTATTCTAATGTCTCCTTATTTAAAACCACAAATGAATTTCAGGAGATGAAACCAGACAAAGGGTGAAGTTTACAGACGATCGTGTTTGCAAGAGCCACCTTCTGGATTGCTGTCCTCATGATATCCTGGCTGGAACAGTAAGTATATTCTCTGTAATAAGGAATTGTGGTGATGCTGGCATTGGTACAGTGCTTCAGGGCTCATCTGTGCGTTGTAGGTAATGTCTAGGATAGATTAGACTTACTGTGCTCAAGGAGCAGTCATAATTCTAATTTCAGTTTCTGTGACCTGTGTATGACACTGCTGAAGTTGGGAGGTCTCAGAATTCACATTAAATTTTTTTTCTCTTGTAATCCCACATGAAGTTGCAAGATTATTTCTCTTTTAGCAGTTTGAGATGGTTAGGGCCTGAAACTTTTCCTGTGACAGTTGGAAGACCATAGCCAACCCGCTGTCCTGGGTGCTTTAGTTCATCATTGCATATTCAGGTTGGTGAGATTTTTCTAACCAGCTGTGATAATCCTTAATCCTTGGAGCTTTTCAGTCTCCTCACTCCAACCATGTGATAATGTCCTGATGGAACAGCAGCTTTTTCATCATTGGCGTGCTAATGGCAGGTTACAGCTCAGGCCGACTTTGTCTTTAGAGTTGATTGGTCTGAGCAGTGTGTCACTCTGCCTGGTTTGAAACAGTTGAGTCTGCTCCTTTGCTGCTGCCCTCTGGGGACAGAGCTGGCCAGTTCTCAAAGGTTTGGCTCATGCACTTTCTTAGAGAGTAGAAGATGATGTGGGATTCTAACAGTGAGATCTTGTGAAGTAAATATTAAGTTTCAGTGCCCAGATGAAAGATGTGGTCTGACTTCCAATAGAAAACAGTGCATGTCTTTTGTAATTGATGCTGTATTACAGAATTGCAGGATGGAGATGAATATGGATGTTTGAAATCAGTCTTTACCCTCGCTGTTTGACAGTAAATACTGTGGCAATTCACATTGTCCGTCCACTTAACCAGATTGTTTAAAGGTGCACTCATTATTTATAGCCCTTCCTGCTGTTACTTCACGAGGTGGGTTTGACACAGTGAGTTACCAGCACGGGAGGGCTGGCGCGCCTTCCTCTGTTTGTGTCGCTGCAATAGCAAGACTCTGCGGCAGCACCAGTAGAAAGAGCTTTAGCAAAAGCTGCCTCCAGCTCTGAGCACTCAAACTTTAGCTTCTCAATGCCTGCTATTGCAGAATAAGATTGGAAGTTGAACATCAGTCTTGATATATCTCTGTATTTATTTTATTAATCTGATGCTCAGATGTATTTTTCAGTGATCGCTCCATCAGCCCCCATATCCCCTCATTTCCATTTCAGAATTTTAAAGCTGCTTAAATCACCTTCTGCCCACCTCCATCCTTCATGCAGGTTGCTGTGGTTAGGGTATATTTTTTCACATGAGACTCTAAAACAGTTTTCTGGGGCCTTAATGGTGATTTGAAGATGCAGGCTGCCTTCTCCCTCTTCAGGCATATTTCCAAGAAGAAGGTAAACAGTGAGTTGAAGGGGTTGAATTAAGTGCTGCGTGTGAGCTAGTGCCAAAGCATGGAGGAAGTCCAAGGTGTTCAAATGGCTTGCAAGTCTCCTGGGTCAGAGAAGCACATGGAGAAATCTGTTTCTCTTGCTTCTGTTGTGACGTATCTGCAGTGGGTTGTCTGTTCCCTCCTGCTGTGGAATTTGTGCTTCAAAATCTCACACGGGGGCAGGAAAGAAGACTGCTCCTGTGCAAATCATCTTCTTGGTCACTCAGACGATCTTGTGGTGACCTTTAAGTGGTTGTGGAGCTCTCTACGCTGTCAGCAGGTTCTTGGGGCACAAAAAAGTTTTGGTGCCACAAATCTGTGTTGAAAGAACATGTGATGTCTGGAATGGGAACAGCATTTCAGCTGTCAGCACTACCAGCACAGAATGAAACTTAACTGGAATGTGCAGGCTTTCCTCGTGATGTTGGTCAGGCTCACTTGCATCTTACGGTGCTCCATTAGGGGAAGAGGTGTGTGGGTGAGCCAGCCTCAGCTGAATTCAGTAGCATCCATCTCTGGATGTGTAGTATTGCAGAAATCAGGACCTTGGATCTTTTTGAAAACTTCCAGCAGATGCTCCAAGCCTTCTGGTGCTGGTTACGTTGCATCCACCCCCTGAAGGCATTGTTATTGCTGCATCCTCCATGTGTGCAGATATTCCTTGGTGGGAGGCTGATTGGAGATTAACAGGAAGCTAGATCTCTTGGGTAGCTGTGCTCAGTGAAATGTGATGGAGTCTCATTCCCTGACCTTCAGGTGCAGAGTAAGAGAAGGAGTCCAGACTGTAAGTAAAGGTCTGGAATATTCCTGAGAGCTGCAGAAGACATGCTGATGTTTGCTTTGTTTAGGTGAACCCATGTTCCTGGTCATAAGAGTCCTTGGCACCAGAAACTTACCACTAAATAAGCTACAATGGTTCTCTCTTTTTTGTCTACATGGGAAATGAGGAAAATTGAGAGAGAACACAAGTTAGTTCAATGTGCCCATGTGTTGTTATCGGGGTAACTTTACTAGATCATTAGTGACCTGCACTGAGTTAGCTCTACTGCTAACAGTAAGTGTATTTCTGTCAGTGGAAGTACTGCAGCACATTCAGAAGTTGCATCGTCTGGTAATCTTCCTCAATTTTAGCTCCACTAATAAGTTGACAGACGAGTCTCAAAGCTGCCCAGGTAGGACAGAGCTCGGAAATTACATTCAGGGAATTGTATCCCCTGCTGGCAGTTATGAGTGAACTGAAATCTGTAGGTTGCAGAACCGTTTTGTGAGGGGTCTGTGCTTCCCTTTCTTACTGGGTGAAATTCTGCAGCTCTGATTACTAGTAAAGAGCCTTCCTCTTACAAATAGACTTTTCTGGGCTCCCCAGTTCAAGAAGGACAAGGAACTACTGGAGAGAGTCCAGCGTGGAGCCCCTGAGATGATGAGGGGACTGGAGCATCTCCCATAGGACGAAAGGCTGAGAAAGCTGCGTCTGTTTAGCCTGGAGAACAGGAGGCTGAGGAAGGGATCTCACTAATGCTTATAAGTATCTAAAGGGTTGAGGTCAGGAAGATGGGACCAGACTCTTCTTGGTTGTGCCCAGTGACAGGACAAGGGGCAGTGGTCACAAACGGGAACACGGAGCTGCCCAGAGAGGTTGTGGAGTCTCCTTCTCTGGACACATTCACAAAACCCACCTGGATGTGTTGCTATGTGATCTTGTCTGGGTTATCCTGCTCTAGCAGTGGGGTTGGACTAGATGATGTTTGGAGGTCCCTTCCAACCCCAACCATTCTGTGATTTCTGGTGAGTTAGCAGTTTAGTGGAGATAAGAGATACCTCAGAATGTGGGTTGCTCAGCAAATGTGAGCTGGTCTAATTGTCAGTGGCATCTAAACGTATTAAATCTTTGTGCATGTGGGGGGTTAAATCTTTACTTAGGCTCTTCTGGTTAGCAGTCTCAAATACCCATATTATAAACCATGGGCATTGACTGGAGCAAATCATGATCAGTGCTAGAAAGGGTGAGTATTTGATGACAAGCCTCCCTGAGGTGAGATGATTTTTTGAGACAGAAGATCTAGTGGTCTTACCTGAAGTGAGCAATACTTGGGAAAAGCTCTTTACACCTAGATGGTCTCCAAGGATGTGGAGGAAGACTTGAAGTTGTATGCCAGTGAGACATAAACATTCTCCTCCAGAGGAAGAAGAGGCTCACGCTTAAGCTATTTATTATTTTGGCTTTCAGAATGTCATACTCTTTTTCTACTTTAAGAACAAGAGAACTGTTCTCTGTTACATATTGATAATGTTGAAATGCAGTTTCTGTGCTTTGAGAGCATAATTAACTTCATGTGGCTTTTAACTACTAGGTTGGGGAAAAATAATTTAAATAGCATTAACTGCAATGGGAGTGAAGGGCAGCATGCAAGTCAGGGCTTTCTGGGAGAGGAGATGCTCTCAAGAAGTCTCTCATTAGATAGTCTGATGCGTGGAAATTAGCTTTGTGGGGCAGATTTTAAAATCCGAGGCCACAGCTGAATGTGGGAAGGGGCTACCTGGAGAATTATGAGTCTGCTGTTGCCGAGCACAGGGTTGTTATTTCCCTTATTTCTTTTAAGTTCATTTGTTCTTGACAGGAAATGTTTTCTGTGTGTTCTGTGGTTTGGTATCTTTCGATGTGTCACTAGGGCTCCTCCTGACACATACGTGGTTTTCCAGTTGAGCTTCAAACAGAGTACAAAGCTGGATGCTTTGCTGTGCTGTAGCTGTGTAATAGGAGCCATTTGGAGCTGGTGCCTGTTAAAGGAGTTGCTGTCGCAGTGTGCCGTGCCTTCCCAGTTCACTCCCAGCAGTTTCTAAGGCTTTGCTGTGACCTACAGCAAGGACCTACAGTAGGACATTTGGGGTGTTTTAATGTTGTTCCAGGAACACCTAGAAAAGGGATTCTAGCGAGCATGTGGCTTTGCTGGCTAGTTCTGTTACTGACAGGTTAAGAGGAAGCTCTTCCTACAGAGGCTGTATTTTGGTATGATACAGTTGGCAAGAGTTAAGTACCCACTGCTTGTTGCTATAATGGAGGGTTCTTACGTTGATTTTCCTTTTTCTTTTCAACAGCGAATGGACCTGGGAGAATGTACGAAGATCCATGACTTGGCACTGCGAGCAGATTACGAGATTGCGAGTAAAGAGAGAGACCTGTTTTTTGAGCTGGATGTGAGTATGGAGAAAATTCTGTTACTTTTGTGAAAGCTGCCTGTTGAAGTTGTTTGGCTGAACAGTAGAACTCTGGGCATTTCAGCTAGCTGTATTATGTAATGTGTTATCTGACAAGAATGTGCAGTCCCTTTCCAAATGCCAGCTTGATTGCTGACTTGAAATTGTAAAAGTAATAACAGCCCTTGCAAGCCTATTGCAAGGTCTAGCTGGTCTAGCTGGGAGGCTCCTCTGGCATTCCTTTCATTCCACACCTCCTGCTCTGTACCAGGTTATTGTAACTCTCTGACCTGCCCCAGAAGGAGATTTAACATTAAAACCCATCTGCTCTGTGGTTTCACTTTTGCCAGATTTAGCTTCTTGTGATGAAACAAACCAAGTGGAAGAACATTTCTTTCTTCCCTTTTCATGTTATTGCAGTGCTTTTGTCTTTGCACCTGTTGCTCGTATGTTGGAAGTTCCAGTCTTTGTGTGAGCATCCTGTTATGTGTCAGAGTAGAGGAACTGTGTCAGGTTCCTGACAGATGACAGACTTAAGAGCAGGGATCAAATTATACTTTTTATACAAAGCATCATTGTTTTTTCCTCAAGACATCCATTGTTGAGGTTGTTTGTGCATTGTATAGGGATCACACCAGCTAGCTGTTGGCTGTCAAAGCTATATCTGGCATGGAGAGCATTTTTAGTCACAATTCTTTGTCCAAACATGCAGGCGATGGATCACCTGGAATCCTTCATCGCAGAGTGTGATAGGAGAACAGAACTGGCCAAGAAACGCCTGGCTGAGACACAGGAAGAGATCAGTGCTGAAGTGTCTGCAAAGGTATTGACTCTCATTAAACATTTGTTCTGAAAGTCTGTGCAAGAGCACTGGTACTTTCTTGTCTCTGACACCATTGATACTGGAAAGTTAGGCTCCACAAAGCTTTGTGGATTCCAGGCATCCTTCTTGAATGCTGCTCTGGTCGCTCTTGTGACAGACAGGTTCAGAGGGCCATAGTAGCATAAAATATTAATATAGGTTGCTTTAGCATGGCAATAAAACATTGGTTCCCACACACACTGTTCAATGTTAATATAATAGCTTAGGTATTAAATCCATTCCACAATTGTTGTCTTAGTAAATGCTTGTGAAGTTTCTTCTTTGGGAACTTCCTTCACCAGGCCAATACAAAACATTTCTGAAGCTGGTTATACAGACTCTGTCCTGTCCTGTAACCCAGAAATGTGCCACTGTTTGTGGCAGAACTGATGATGTCCGCTCCATGTCCAGTTTCTCTCTTTGCTACATGTCTGTGACTACATTGCCTGTACTTGGACCACCATTCCCTTTTTGCTGGGACACCTTTGACTTTTGAGGTTTCTAGTAATCTTCCAACAACTGCTTTTGTTAAACAATATGTTTTAGAGAAAAAGGAAAAGTCATCCTGCAAGCTTTAGCAAGTTTTTGTCTTACTAAAAATTAACTATTCTCTTTAGGCAGAGAAAGTACATGAGCTGAATGAAGACATTGGAAAACTCCTAGCTAAAGCTGAACAGCTAGGAGCTGAAGGAAATGTTGATGAGTCTCAAAAGATCCTGATGGAAGTGGAGAAAGTCCGAGCAAAAAAGAAAGAGGCAGAGGTATGGCCTTGGTTCTTCTGAGTGGCAGAATGAGCTAGGCTGAGTGCGTGAACAGACAGCTGGGTGGATCCTACCTCTTTTCTGATGTTGCCAGCACCTCCTTTTTCAGTTTCACACAGAATCACAGAATCTTAGGAGTTGG